ATTTAATTAGTTTTATCGATTAAAAGCCCATCTATTTTTTCAAATATTATTTTATACTAAATTACACTAAAATGTACTTATTGAGTAGGAAATATTCTAAAATGGACGTTTAGTTTAATTTTAAAGACAAGTTAAAAGTACATGATAGAATTGATATATTGTATAAAATTTAATCTACGTTTGCTAAAACTATAAACATTTTACACTTAATTAAATTGGCATGTCGATTTTCTAGGACGTCCAATGCACATTCAAATGCAAGAACTATAGTTAGTCACAACAACAAAAATAATTAAATTAATTGGGCAGTAAATGTAGCATCAATACATATATATTCCAGATAGTATGATAATTACGAGAAACAAGCATGTGGCGACACAGAATCAAATTACTCCAAGTTGAAAATGATTTGTCTGAGAGACTAGGAAAGGGTATAGAAGAGTTTCTAGAAGAAATTCAGATTTTTTTCATGGAGGTATGAAGATATGGTGGGGATCAATTCGAAGGTATCGTGATATTTCTTGAATACTGATCCCAAATTTCATCCTCATAAGCAAATGAGGATGCTCCTCAACCTAGAGAGATGCAGCCACGTTGAAGAGGTTGACAATTTAATATTAAATGACTTTATATTAGGAACCACATTATCCGGACTTTGGCGGCAACCCAAATCCTCGTACGAAAGTCCAAAGGTAATCTACACTAGGCATGTCCAAAGAATATCTTCCTCATATCTTGCATTCATCAATTAATTGTTGCGACAACAGGGTGTGCTATGTTAAGCTTCATGGATGCTTATTCAGATTACAATGAGATCCCCTTGTATGAACCAAATGAAGAACATACCTCATTCATCATAGATCCAGGTCTATATTTTTATAGTGATACCTTTTGAATTGAAGAATGTCGGGTCACCTATCAGCAATTAGTAAGTTGAATCCGCTGATTACATCCAAAAAATTATGGAGTTATATATAGATATTATGTTGGTGCAAATCTTGTAGGCAGGCAAGTACAAACTCACATCGAAAAAGCATTTAACATTATTTGACACTATCAGACCACTACAATAAAACCATGATTTCGCGACAAGAATTTTTGCGACATACAAAAAGTTGTTGCAATAAATGACTTAACGCGACACATTTTTAAAGTTTGTCACGAAGATTGTGATGAAAAAAATATGTACCAAAAACTATAAGACGACATAAAAAGTTGTCGTGAAATATGAGATGTTGCGACAAATAATAAAGAATGTCGCCGAAAATATGAGGGAAGCAAGGCGCCAAAATATTTTTGGTGGGAAATTTATGGCGACAAACCTTTTTTTCTTGCTACAAAATGTTTGTGATGCAATAGGGTCTCTTTTTGGCGATAAAAGAAATCTGTTGCTAAAAATTCTATAGTTGGAGGAAAAAAGGGCTACAAGAAAATAACTTTTTTGCAACGGACAAAAAATATTGTAGTATATTTTTTACAATGCTCACCCATATACATAGTCTAATATTCTTGTAGAGTTGAAGGATACTGCAACATGCAATGCATGCCGCAAAAGCCATCAAATGTACGTTGTTGTAAAGTTTTTACGATGTATCTTATCCGTTGATTTTATTTTATCTTGTAACATTCTTTGCTTATTGTCTTAACTTTTTTTTTTCTAACATAATTTTTTTTTGTAATAAGTGTTTGTTTTTTCGTCCTGCTAAATTTTAATGTGTAATATAAATTTTTAAAATTATTAATTATTTTTTATCAAAAGCAAAGTTTTTTTAATAAAAGCTGTATAAATTTTTTAAAAAAATTTATTCCCAATAAAATTAAGAAAAATGCATTAGACGACTAAATTTTCAATCAAATAATAACTTACAAAAATAGAAATACTAGGTGGAACCAATCCATAAAAGAAAATAACTGTCTCAACAATTAAAGCAAATAAATAAATTAAATAAATCATAGTTCATATATTATCAGTAGGCGGTGGCATGCTAAACATTGTTGCTGGTTCAGCTTGTTGTGGAGACATGCCGACTTGATTTGATACGAACTGATGCATTAGCGCCTCAAAGTGAGAAATCTTGGCACGCATATCCAATAATTCTTGCTCCTGCTTTTGTATTTGCTCTCGAAGGGCTATTGATTCAGTATCAACCGATGTCAAATGAGCAGAGTGGCTTGAGGCAGGTTTTGGACCATGTCCAAGTCCTCTAATGTAACCTCTAGATTTTCCTAAAACTTCTTGCATAATCTCAAGTTCAGTAGGGGCCTCAGATCCCTCTGGAATTGGTTGCTCTTTAATTTGAAGCATCTTCTCCTATATATAAGTAAAGAAAAAGAAGAGAGAATACATGTTAATAACATAATATATATAAAATGTCAATAACAACGAATAAATTCTTAATATACTTACATATTTTATTCGTGCTTCATCATTTACCCACCCTTTCTTCTGACTGTAATGAGTCTCATAATAAAGTTTTATTTCTCCTTGTGCGTTGTCTTTAGTAATTGATCTCTGTTTGAAATAATATATATCAAGTTACAAAAATATATTTGTCTTCATAAACACAAAAGAAAGTATTACCTTTCCTTGAAGACATGCAACAAATGATTTTGATCCACCACAATGATTATATTTAATGCAGTTGTGGCTTGCTAAATTACGTGTAGATAATGCCTGTAATCAATTTATATGTAAATATAATTAACTCATTATAATTTATCATTTTTAATTATATTAATTATTTTAAGATAACGTCTAAATTACATTATTCTTAATATTTACAAGTATATGCAATTTTAATAAAAGTTACCTGAAATTCAGGGGTAGACCAATATTGACACAACCAGTCCCAATCAACTTGCTTTATGTCAGTTGGGCAATTCTTCATTGCATCATCTAATGTTTTTCCATTGAAATATTTCTCTTTGAGTCTACATCTATAATCACGATATCTTCTCGCTAAAGTATCGTTCACACATTTATGGACATGCTCAACTGTCAAATCAAGCTTAAATTTTGCCTACCAAAAAAAAATGTGTATATTATTTATTTAAATATGGGAAACTAATAACTATTCTACAAAATTTTGTAAGAATGAGAATTTGTTTACGACTTACCAAAACTCGATCATACAATTTATTTTTCTCTTCATAGGGTATGTCGATCCACCTTTTGTAACAAAGTGGAGCAAAGGATCGAACGACGTAGCCACATTCACTAGCCAAACGTGCTTGCTGATTTCCAATAGCTCTTCCCAGTTTTTTAGAAATCTCCAACGATATTTTTCCAGCTGCACTGACAATGTCATCAGTGCCCTTACCTCTTGTAGGACCACGTCCCTTCCTCTTCAAAGAATGAGAATCTATGAAATAAATTACTCAAAGGATGAGAATATATATTGGGAATATAGCACTGACAATGTCATCAGTGTTCATTTAAGGCTGCCTCGGCAAGTTTTTGGAATTCTTGGTTAACAAAAGAGGAATTGAAGCCAATCCAAAAAAGATTATGACTATTTAGAAATGAAATCTCCTCAAAATCTGAAGGAGGTGCAAAGTCAAACCAGAAGGATAGCAACCATAAGCCGCTTAGTCTTGAAGTCCACTTGTTTAAAACTATCAAGGAAAGGAAGACACTTGAATGGATCTCAGAATGTGAAGAGGTCATCGTGGCCCTAAAGAAGCATTTTAATAAAGCTCATCATTGTCGAAACCAGTTCAATGAGAAGTCCAGTAAGGCCCCGTTTGGTACCCATTTTTTTCAAAATGCATTTTCTCTCTCTTCTTCTCAACCACACATTTTTTATTAAAATAATATTACACGTAAATCAAAAAAATTTCCTTATTTTCCAACTACACATTTTCCATCAATTTACTATTCAAAAATGCATTTTTACATAAAAATGTCTCCCAAAATATATTTGTCTGACTTGGAAAGGGCCACTTGTGCTTTACTAGTTTAGGCAGAAGGAACGTAATAATTTCCAACCTACAATGTAAGTAAAGTTCTTATGTCGAGAAGAGATCATCAGACATGGAAATTTTGGCTCTTGCATTAATTATAGCTTCTAGGAAATTTAGGCTATATTTCAAGTCCATATCATAGAGGTACTTAATAAATTATCTATTGAGGCAAGTTCTCCAAAAAGCCCGACCTTTTAGGGAGGTTAACGAAGTGGACAATTGAACTCAGTCAATTCAACACTCAGTCTCGACCGAGGACAACTATCAAGATGTGTAGCATTCACTGAGGGGCCTGTAGTTCCGACAGATGTTAAAGAACTTGAGTCAGCCAGGCATAAACAATGGAAATTGTTTGATGTCTCATCCTGAAAGTCTGCGTTGGGGCAAGGACGATGCTAATTGCTAATATGGCCAGAGGGACATCATCCTAACTGTGCCTTGAGGTTCAATTTTCAAGCTCCAAATAATGTGCCAGAATATGATGCACTGATAGCTGGGATGTAATTAGTAAAGGAGATGGTGACTCCCAGCTTGTAGTGAATCATATCAGTGGTTGCATTGCAGCCAAGGACAAGATCATGGCTCTTTTTTTGAAACATTTCATGAATTTTCTCTCAAATTTCAAAAAATTTAAAATTCTTCAAATCCCTCATGCAGAGAACAATAGTGCTGATGCTCTGTCCAAATTGACCAGTAATAAGGATTCAGAACTGTTGAAGGTAGTTCCAATTGAGTACTTTCTCCTGAGGCTAAATATGATATAATTATTATTTGTCAACAACCCAAGTGGATGAAAGATTTTTTAAATTACTTTATGAATCATAAGCTTCTCACCGATATCGTCGAGGCTGAAAAGCTGAAGTTGGGAGCCATCTGTTCATATTAAGGAATGAAATCATGTAGAAAAAGTAATTTCTCCATTCCCTTATCATAATGGACGAGTTATAAATCTATTTTGTGAGGTACAAGAATGAATTTGTTACAATAGTAAAGATAGATTATGCCAACTATGAATAAGGACTTTTTAGATCATGGTAGGCTATGTGACATGTGCCAAATGTTCTCTAACATATCTCCACTTTATCCCCAAGAATTAATCACAATAAGTAGTCAACGGCTTTTTTCTAGATGGAGCATAGTCGTGGTGGGTCCATTTCCTAGATGGAGCATAGTTGATATTGATTTCTTTATAAAACGGTTTGAAGCAGAGTTAATTATAACGATCACAGATTCTAATACAACAAAGTTCATATGGAGAAGCATAGTATGCATATTCAGTATTCCATATTCTTTAGTTCCAGGCAATGGAAGACAATTTGACAATAAAAGTAGAAAGTATTATAAATACTAGTTTGCGTCTCGTGCGTTGTATGAATTTTGTATTTATTTTGGTTTTATTAGCGTAAAATTTATAGATTGTACAAAAAAATATTTGGAAATAAGAAATGTTTGTTTGATTCTCATCTTTTGGTCGACTGTATATTTTATGTCACGATAATTTATTTTTATTCTTATAAATAAGTATAATGAATGTTGTGATTGTATATATGTCAACGATAATTTATTTTTAATTATTTATTGTATTTTTTTGTTTAATGTAGATGAAGATATTTTTTTTATCTGATACTGCAAATAAGTTGTAAATTGAATTTTGCAAAATGCTTTTCTTTAACAAATTTGATTCGAGAGGCTATACTTGTAGTTCAAAAATAACCCATGCCTGTAAATTGAAAGAGAATATCCACATACACAAACATTTAAATAACAAACTCAAGTTCGGACGTAAAATAACTTGAAGTGACACTTACTGAATGGTCAACTCCCTTGTTGGTGTAAGAATTAGAACCCTAACAGCAGACCTATTTTTCGAACGATACAACAGTCACTCCAAGGTTGGTAGGGCAAAAGAATTTTAAAAAAAAAATTAAATAAATTTTATTTGAAAGAGAAGAGAATTAAAAAGAAATTTAAATAAATTGATAAAAAAACCAATTATTTATAAAGTAAAATTTTCAATTTTAATTAAATAATATTTATATATTCTTCATTTAATTTTCATAACTTTATTTTATTTTTTACTTCTAAATAATTTTAAACGAATTTTTTTACTTATATAAGTAATTTTTACGTATATTAGAAATATTTTTTGTTAATATGTTTATTTTTAATTTTTTTTATTAAAAGTGATTTTTTTTTTTTTTTACTTATAAAAGTGGTTAGCACGGAATAAGGTGGGAGGTATGGAAAGTTGTGTGTTACATATATTCACATTGCCTCTCTTACACTATATATATAATATAATAATATAAGCAAATGAGTTGATTTGAAAAGGTGTGGTCATAGCGTATGAAAATGGAGAACGAAAAAATACAAAAAAAAATAATTTTGAATAATCCTCCGTGAACGGAGACCAACTATATATAATTTTTTTTAATTCTTTTCTCTTCAATTTTTTTAACCTACAAATAACTTTTTCGTTAAAACTGAAAAATTAAGTTTTATTTGGAAGAGAAAAGAGTTAAAAAGAAAAAAATAATTGATTTTTTAAAGAAAAAATCGCATTTGTTAACACATACGTTTAATCTCCGTTTAACTATTTTCGATATTTATTTAGATCATTCGATATCTCTATGATATAGTTCTCAAAATGAGTTTTGAGAGAATGTAAATATTTATTAATTCGACTATCGTACAATCGTCGATGAATTTTTAAAGTTAGCTTGTTATCGAAAATTTGGAAATAGTAATAAAATAATTGATTTTTTAAAGAAAAAATGACTTATGCGTATTTTTTAACACATACGTTTAATGTCCGTTTAACTATTTTTGATATCTATATAGATCATTCGATGTCTCTATAGTATAGTTCTCAAAATGAGTTTCGAGAGAATGTAAAACATTTATCGATTCGACTATCATACAATCGTCGATGAATTTTAAAGATAGCTTGTTATCGAAAATTTTGAAATATAGTTTGAAAATGCTTACTTTGACGTCCTATAACATTTGCTATGATTGACCATTTCACGCACCGTTAACGACGTGCAATACTATGCCGCGAATACTTCGAAACGATATTAAGAATGTAATATTTCAACTTCATTTGATATCCCATAATGAACCTAAAAATGAATACAAAAACATAAGTTAAAAAAAAAATATATATATATATATATATATATATATATATATATTTCTCTCTCCGTGCACGGAAAGCCATGGCCTCCGTGCACGGAGTTCTTCCAATTTTTATTTATTTTTTTTCTTCTTTCCTTCGTGCACGAAGAGATTTATTTTATTTTATTTACTTATTTATTTTTTTTTGTGTAGTTTTACGTTATAAATTTTTTTTTTCAATTTAAAATTCTTCAGAGACATTGTCTCCGTGCACGAAGGCTTTTGCTTCGTGCACAGAGAGATTAATTAATTTCTATTTTTTTGTGTAGTTTTACGTTATAATTTTTTTTTTCAATTTAAAATTCTCTTTAATTCTTTTCTCTTCAAATTTTTTTACTTACAAGTAATATGTTGTAAAAAAATTTATGTCGCATATTATCTCTATCTTTTTTTTTTAATATAAAAGTAATTTTTTTCTTATATCCCATATATATATATATATATATATATAGTAGGGATATCGGAGTGGGGGAGGAATGGAAATTACGTGTTACAGTAAATTTGGAGATAATATATAATAAAATAAAATATATATCAAGCAAACGGCGTCATTTTTTGCCCCCAATTGAAAAAATAAAAAATAAAAATGCTACAGTAAAGATAGATCAAGACACTGTTGCTTTTTACAGTGCCCTCACATTCCCCTTTTTATATAGTAGGGATCTCTTCAAATTTTTTACTTACAAGTAATATGTTGTAAAAAAAAATTTGTCGCATATTATCTCTATCTTTTTTTTTTAATATAAAAGTGATTTTTTTCCTATATCCGTACTATATATATCTATATCGGAGTAAGGGAGGAATGAAAATTGCGTCTTGCAGTAAATTTGAAGGTAGTGTATAATAAAATAAAATATATATCAAGCAAACGGCGTCGTTTTTGGCCCCCAATTGAAAAAAAAAAATAAAAAAACAAAAATGCTACAGTAAAGATGGATCAAGACACTGTTGCTTTCTACAGTGCTATCACATTCCCCTTTTTATATAGTAGGGATACACATATGTTTATGTCCCATAGAGGATCCTTATTGTTGTGACCACACTTATAAAAAATATTGTAATTCATTGACTTCTTGGAAAATACTAAAGAAGATAAAAAGGTTTGAGGTAGAACAGAAACGAATATTAGGAAGAAAATTTTTGTAAAGCAGGCTACAAGGGTATTTCCTAAACACCTATTCGTGTTATAGTAACAATATCATTATCTTCTAGTTTGATACAAAAAATTAATCAAATCTGGGTATTATTTTATATTCTTTTTGCGACGAATTTCCATTTCAAGTGTTCAGTGAAGCTAATAGCTAGTTCAACTCTAGCACTCATTATAAAGAAATCACCTGATAATATTATGCATAACGTTATCAATTTTATTACACAAAAGAATGAATTGTTTACAAGTAAAAAATGATGAATGGACAATATGAAAATTGTTTATTGACTTCACTTTAATCACACTGAATTTTAACAAGAACACACAAGATTAATTTATAGTTTCTGAAGATTGATTTTCAAATTATTAACTAATTTAGCTAAGTTGAGCATGCATGAATATTTTTAGAGTAACATTCAATCAGGTATAGCACTAGGATTACGACTACCCTTGTCATATATGAACGATTTATCAATTACCAGTTCTTGTCGATTTTCGCCTCAGTCGAAAGAATGATCCAGTATTAATCAATAGCCTCGATCCTATATTCATCTATAAACTTACACATCTCTAATTAAGTTACACACATACAAGCATGCATTAAGTCACAAAGATCATCACATTGTTGAAGTTGCTCTGCTAAATCATTATGTGCATCCTCGAGGTTGCTATTAAACTTGGATCAAACCTGAACTGATCACTATTTTTCGTTGTTATTTATCCTCCAAAGCCATCTATGTGCATGAAGGTCCTAATCTGTGCACATTTTCTGCTCCCTCATTGGATTAGACTATTTTTAAGTTACATGTAATTCTCCATATTTAAAGATAAAAGGGTAAAAACCATTTTGATACAACTGTTGGAAATTTATTAACCGGTGAATGAACATTAGAAAATGATTTGATTGTTTTCATCCTTCATTTAACAAAATCAGTGTTCTAAAATACATGCATGTGCTTCGTATATGCCCTCATATGCTTGATGCATTTTCAAAATACATCACATATGTAGTATGCATGTGATAATGCTGCCAACCCATTTTGTTGACCACATATACACGCTTGAACACCAAAATTTGTACACATTTATTTTAAAATTGTGTCAAAATTAGCCAAACAAAGTTAAACACATGATTACAACTTAAAATAGTAAATTCAGCCCAAAAACGTCAAATTAACCCAAATCAAGCAAATTCATGAATTATTTACAACAATCTATAGGGTTTTGACATTTAAACAAATCAAAAATCAAAACAAATTTTTCGTAGAGTTG